ACAATATATCTATTTCATCTTGTGAAAGTCAATTCAGCTTTGTCATGAACACACTTGCTATAAAGGCTATTATTTCTGTATCCCAATATCTTTGCAACATGAAGGCATGAACCTGAGATTTTTTAAATTGGATTATTTGATCTAACAGAATACATAATTTGAAATATCAAAGGTCTCCGAAATAAGGTTGCAGTGGTATAGGAAATAAAAATGTGTTCCAAGTGCTCAGTGTTTTTTTTATTGAAATTAATTAATTGATACTTGAAGATTAATCAGATTTAAATTTTTTTACTTAGCAAACTAAAAGTTTAAATTGATTAAAATCAAGTTCAAACAAAAACTGCAGCGAGTGTAAAATTGTTTCGAAGAAATTATTCAAAAAGGTAAAAAAACGATAAGTCGAAAAAAATTTTAAAAGTCAAATATTGTAAAATTTGTTTTTATTTTATTAGAAGTCCTTCAGTTAATTATATTTTCTATTTCTGCAAATTTCTGTTAAATCTGTTATTTTAACAGGTCTGGAGATGCGCCAAATATTTGATATTTTATATTTTGAAAATATTATATTTACATCCTGCAGGACTTGGAGAAATAAACAAATAAAATTTTGAGCATGAAACTGAAAAAGATATAAAACATAAATCATATTTTCTACCCTACTCATCCATTACAAGATTTAATATGCACTACACTCCTCTGCCGCTCTCGTAATTGTAATGGAAAGTTCCAGTTTTACAAGAACTTTTAAATACAAGAATGAATAATTTATATGTTGAAGGATTCGATGATTACGTAATAACTGAAATGATAAATATGTTATGTAATGAGTAATGATCAATGTTGTCTATTTGTTCATAATTTTGCATATTTTTCTCTTTTCTTTTGGAAACCTGTATTTTCAAAAATTTATTTAATACAAACTAAATCTTTGTTTTGACCCACTTCCACTTGTCAGATTTTGATAAAATCTAGCTTTTTAGAAAGTCTTTGACATAAAGAAACGAACTGCACAAGTTTTGCGAGAAAAAAAATTGCAAATTTTTTGCAAACAATCTTTCAAAGGAAATTTGCACATTTTTAGTATTTCTTTATTAAAAATCAGGTTATTTAAAATTTTGCAAAAATTTTTGCATATTTGAAATGGCATAGTCAAGGGCTTTTCAAAAAATTTTCATTTTTTGGAAAAATTTTTTTTTGCAAACATTATTTCTATATAACTGGATTTTGCGATAAAAAATTCAATTTTTGCAAATTTGCAAATTTTTTTGCAGATTTTAAAAGTATGGCACAAGAGCTTTCTAATGATGTATCATTTGTCATACTTGGACATCAAACATGGGATTTAGAGGGGGGGTCAATTTGACCCCCCCCCCAGCATATCCTGGTTTTCAAGTACCCCAGCAGAGATAGGGTTAAACAAATTTAAACTACACCACTTATGTATGTATTTATATCTTTGTGTGTGAATAAATCTTAATAATAATAATAATTATGGTTGGTCCAGCTCGGATATTCAAATGTATACCGGTCGGGCGTGGCATGGACTTTACTGCTTTGAAGTATTCATTAAAAGTGATTCAAAGGTTACAAGCTCTTGCGCCAAAAACTCAAACTCTTTCTAAAACTAAACCTAGAAACAAGTACCGCTAATTCTGAACATGTCTGGGACTACAAAAACAAGTACTGCTAGTTCTGAACATGTCTGGGACTACAAAAACAAGTACTGCTGGTTCTGAACGTGTCTGGGACTACAAAAACAAGAACTGCTGGTTCTGAACGTGTCTGGGACTACAAAAACAAGTACCGCTAATTCTGAACATGTCTGGGACTACAAAAACAAGTACTGCTAGTTCTGAACATGTCTGGGACTACAAAAACAAGTACTGCTGGTTCTGAACGTGTCTGGGACTACAAAAACAAGTACTGCTAGTTCTGAACATATCTGGGACTACAACAACAAGTACTGCTAGTTCTGAACATGTCTGGGACTACAAAAACAAGTACTATTAGTTCTGAACATGTCTGGGACTACAAAAAAAAGTACTGCTAGTTCTGAACATGTCTGGGACTACACAAACAAGTACTGCTAGATATGAACGTGTCTGGGACTACAAAAATAAATGTACTGCTGGTTCTGAACGTGTCTGGGACTACAAAAACAAGTACTGCTAGTTCTGAACATGTCTGGGACTACAAAAACAAGTGCTGGTTCTGAACGTGTCTGGGACTACAAAAACAAGTACTGCTAGTTCTGAACGTGTCTGGGACTACAAAAACAAGTACTGCTAGTTCTGAACATGTCTGGGACTACAAAAACAAGTACTGCTAGTTCTGAACATGTCTGGGACGACATAAACAAATACTGCTAGTTCTGAACATATCTGGGACTACAACAACAAGTACTGCTAGTTCTGAACATGTCTGGGACTACAAAAATAAGTACTGCTAGTTCTAAACATGTCTGGGACTACACAAACAAGTACTGCTAGATCTGAACTTGTCTGGGACTACAAAAACAAGTACTGCTAGTTCTGAACATGTCTGGGACTACATAAACAAGTACTGCTAGTTCTGAACATGTCTGGGACTACATAAACAAGTACTGCTAGTTCTGAACATGTCTGGGACTACATAAACAAGTACTACTAGTTCTGAACATGCCTGGGACTACAAAAACAAGTACTGCTAGTTCTGAACATGTCTGGGATTACAAAAACAAGTACTACTAGTTCTGAACATGTCTTGGACTACAAAAACAAGTACTGCTAGATCTGAACATGTCTGGGACTACAAAAACAAGTACTACTAGTTCTGAACATGCCTGGGACTGAAAATGTCCAGATATAAAAAATATATATCAGTAATAAAAAAGACAGATAATGATTGCCTGATTTTGTAGATTCCATCCNCCCGTCCTAAAATGTAAAGAAAAAACAAGAAGAAATACAGAATTTATCAATATTTTATTTAAGGTTATGTACGCTGTATACTATCGCCTGTGCTATAAAGTTTTATCAGCTGTAATTCAATATTTTGGTTTTCTAATGCAAAAACAATAGAAATAGATTCATTCAAACCATGAATGCCAAACAAAGAAACCTTTTCATCTAAAAAAAAATTACTTCTCCTGAACCTAAAACAGTTTATATGCAATATACGCAGATTACCAGGCGGCCAATTAAATCTAATCAATTTTCAACAATGGATGATAATTTTAATTTTCAATCTTTTGAGAAAATCTTAGCAAAATATAATTCCGAGGGTTTATGCAGAAATAACTTTGTTAATTAAATAATTACGCTTTACTGCTTAAAATTAGGCATTCATTTAAATCACTTAATCACCCTTCTATCGTTAAGAAATTTTGCATCGATATAGATGCCAATTTTCATTAAAAAAATCTTTTTTTCCAAACTGCATGCAAAGAAAGTGATTTTTTTGCCACACTTTCAAATTTCATAATTCCATATATTTTTAACCTGATATTAAAGACCTTAGTTACTGAAATCATTTTCAAATTCAAATATACACAAGGTATAAAATTAGCAAATCAACGTTTTAAATTCAGTTTGTTCAGTTTTAAATTCATAGATTAATAACAATACAGATAGAACACTTGGTGACGTCTTTTCAAGATAAGGTGTTCACAATATCCCTGAGTTCAAAGCCCAAAGTAATTACGCAAGTGCCGTGTTGAATAACAAGACAGAGAGAGAGCATGCACGTAACTCCTTTAGGCTTCTGCCACAGGGTTATTATTAACAAAAACTCTTAAATCTTGAAAAGACGACACCTAGTGTTCTATCTGTGTTGCTATTAATCTGTGATAAAATGAATCCTAAAACAGATAATGTGTTCTGGAAAATAACTAGATTTAATTAGAATAAAAGAGGAATGAAGGCTTACATGGCTTCACAGTGTTACAGAAATTATATTAGACGCAAAAAAAAACTTTTACGGATTTAATTTTAAAAATTTCTATGAAACCTAAATATTTATACTAATATGCAAAATTCACAGACACTACATATACAATGTACACTAAAATATAGGAAATAAGATCAATTGAACTAAATCTTAAAATGTCCTTGCTTTGTGAATCGACTAAACCAGAAAATTCCGCGAAATTTTACGTAGTAATTGTTTTGATTTTATATATATATACAAAAAAGTGATTGTTGTTTAAGTAATATCCTACCTCTACTCCTATTCTTAAACACTTCCGTAACTCCTAAAACAGTGTTTTGATTCATTTTCACTCCATACATAAAATAGCTTGGCAACCCTGCTTGCTAGCTTTAATGCCGACTTATGACATTCCTGTGCAGTGGTTCTACCGAGTTCCCCAATGAAAATTTGAGGCAAATCAGTCAAGGAATTTCTAAGTTATGAAAAGACATCTAAATGATACTACATATTTTTATGTAAAGATTAATATTATCTCCCACTAATCTTTCGAAATAATCATTTTAAAAAAATGTTTTTTTCTGTATTTTGGTAGATTATGTCACACACGCCCGATTCTAAATTTTAAAAAAAATTGAAAATACCAATTTTAACATTTCTACCGTTGAAGAATTTCTACTCAAGTTTCTCTCAATAGTTTTTATGAATTTAATTTCCCCCCAATCCTATTTCTTAAATCTTGAAATCCCCCTTACTCTACCCCCAGACATCTAAATTCCCCCATCTTACTCCAATTCCTAAATNTGAAATATAACACTTAGTTTGTAATTGTTCTGTACAGAACGTTGAAAGGAAGTTTAAAAAAAAAATGTCATTCAAAACAAAAACATTTTTCACACTTACATACGAGTTAAAAAAAATAAGAAATTTAATTTTGAATTATTTTCATGAAGATTTTTAAGGTTTCAAAAAGCTAATGTCTTTATGAGACTTTTAATAAAAAATAAAAAAATAAAACAAAACATTTAAAATGCTTGGATGCCCCTATGACTGGGTGTGAATATATGAGGGGATCTCTACAAGGATTTATCCAGGTTATACTTCATACTTGGGTAACCAACATCCTAGATACAACACCTCGTCTTTATATCTCCAGGTTAAACTTAATACTTGGGTTACCAACACCCTAGATACAACACCTCGTCTTTATATCTCCAGGTTAAACTTTATACTTGGGTAACCAACACCCTAGATACAACACCTCGTCTTTATATCTCCAGGTTAAACTTTATACTTGGGTTACCAACATCTTAGATACAACACCTCGTCTTTATATCTCCAGGTTATATTTTATACTTGGGTTACCAACACCCTAGATACAACACCTCGTCTTTATATCTCCAGGTTATACTTTAGATTTGGGTAACCATGTGCACCCTGGATACAACACCTCGTCTTAATATTTCCCGGATTTTATGCCAATAGGATTCCCTCAAAAGACGAGACTTTTATGATGACTAGTTTTTACATGCCACAATCTTAATTATAGATTAAAAACGGTTGAAAATATTGAAAAATTATGTTTTAAATCGCAACAAAAATTCACGATACCCGATAAGTTAAAAATTATAAGGTTTAAATAAACTATGTATCTTCTTAGAATTTTCGTCCTTGCGGATCGGGCTAAGGATTTTTGTCTTAACCCTGAACAGGCTGGGGAATTTCACACCGTCCTTCCCCCCCCCCCTCCAGTTTTTTGCCCTAGCACTCTCATTTTTGACACTATCCCCGTGAAATTTGTTGTCTTTTAATGAAAATAAATTTAATGGATTGTTTGTAAATTTTTTTTTATTTATGCATTGGGTAGGGTACAGGGCGGTTAAATGTCCGGTCTGTGTAAAGAAAAATTAAAATAGCCCATAATTTTTGTGTGACTAAATCTACAGATATAAAAACTATGAAAGCCCTTAAAAATTGGATGTAGAAATATGTGTTACATGTGTAAACCTTCCCTAGCACCCAAACTATAAAAGTTCTCAGGCCATTTTTTTCAACAAGCTGGCCTTGAAAAATTGGGCTATGAACATGCATTTCAACCCTACTCCTATTCTCTAAGGTCTTTTCTAGAGGGGAGGGCGTGGATGATGCCCCACTCCCTCCCGCTATACATAGATTCAGACCTCCCAGTCTTTATAGGGTTAACTGATCAGGCTAACCCTGTTTAAAATCCGTAATGTGCAAAGTACATTACAATTTCTACAATGGTTTGTAATTTGTAATTTGCATATTTTCTTTATCTTTAAGAAAGTGAGATATTTTTCATAATCGTTTGTTTAATTTCATTTTTCTTCAGATCATGAAATATTTTTCTAAAAATATAATTCCCTGAAGAATTACAGTTCCATCAAAATATATTTTCCATTAAGAAGGTTTACTCCCAGTTTGAAATTAATTTGTTTTCTTTTTTTATATTAACAAAAGTGATTTAAAAGCTTTTTAAAGAGAACTGTTTAATTATTATCTACTTGCAATGTTGCCCTTTAAAGATTTTACTGAAATCACAAGTGGCAACTTCCCAAACTTGCAATTTCCCAAGAAGAAACTTGCCAAGTATGTTCCAGCAGCGGCGTTCGGCCGCTCGAAACCCATCCAAGCCGCTGGGCTCAGCCCCCATTGTAGCCTGTGGCCTAACCTAACCTTAAACGTACATTTGGTAAATTGTACATTTGGAAAGTTGCTCATTTGGAAAAAAAACCTTGGGAAGTGTGGCCTTGGGAAAGTACCAAAAACCTACTTGTATTTTATGATTTTTCTGAACTGGAATTCATAAAATTTCAAAGAACAATTTTTTTCAGTTTGATTTATTGTATTCAGTGCAAGTTATATTACTGGAATTCAGAAAAAAAAACCAATATTAAACTTTTTCAATTTATTTCTATTTTATTTGAATAAATTGTAAAATCAGCAATTTCTTTCAGGAAAATAAATATATTTCAAAATAGTTTTTCACAAAACAACCTTTTATTTAAGAGCAATCAAAAGCCAAGAATAATTTTTTTCGGGGGGGGGGGGGTAAATATTTGGTAACATTTTTATATAAGAAACCTTTATTTAGGGGTGCTGTTCACGTCATTTCATGTCACCTTCAAGGCAATTTGAGGACAATGTCCGATAGAAAACTGTATCTTTGAAACCATTATCTGTTCAATCATGTTTTCTATAAAATTCCCATATTTACTGCAGTAGAAACTGAAGAGAAACCACAATTGAAAATAATCAGTTTTTAAAAATATGAACAATGCTATTCTTGCTTGGAGGGTTAATTTATATTACACTTACAGTACTTTTAAGAAACAAAATGCTTTTGAACTAACCGCCCCTGCAATAGATTGTTTGGTTTCAGGTATGAAGTTGAACTAACCTCCCCTGCAATATATTGTTTGTTTTCAGGTATAAAGTTGAACTAGCCTCCCCTGCACTAAAATGCCGGGTCATGTTAAACGTGGAGGAACTGGGGATCCGGATCCGGATCCTGCTCCTTTCCTTTATATTTCATATGAGGAAAAGCAAAAGGTAATCTTTACCAATGGCAAGGTTGTTTAATATGGTAGGTTACTCTAGATGCGCTCCAATTTCCGGAACATGTCGTCTCCTGAGATAGATAGATAAAAACCACATATGACGTCGCTCTCGCCTCCATAATCAGTGACGTCATACAAGGTTTGTATCTATCTATCTTAGGAGACGACATTTTCTGTACATTGGAGCGCATTGAGTAAGCAACCTTATCAAACAACCTTGATCAATGGATTCTCTAGCTAAATGATTTTGAATATATGACATGAATTTGAAAACTGCTCATACCACACAAACGTCACAAGAAGGGGATAGTTCACTTAGCATAATGTCCCAATTTGCCTAACTTAGTTTGTAATTGTTCTGTACAGAACGTTGAAAGTCGGTCCGGTACTTGATTTTAACCGGAGTGTACAGTGATAGTATAGTCTTGTTTCTGTCATTGCTTAGTCCTAGCTAGGCAATAGGCATGGAGGGTTCTAAATATCTACCTTATGCCGAAAAATATGTTAAACCAAAAATTTGAATTATTTTTTTTTTAACAAATTACTAATATACATTTAACCAGCGAACATAACCTTTTACAACTTGTAAAAAATCCACGAGAATTTATTATATCCTATATTATATACAGGGGTACCCATAAAGGATGAGACTGCAAAGACGGCCAGAAACTATTAAAATATGACTATCCCAAGTTTAAATTAAATCTTCCGCCTTAAATTTGGTATTAAATGGCTTATTAGATGATTTTGCAAAGAAAGAACAAAGTGTACACTTGTCGGGAATCATCATTTTAAATAAACAGACAGAATAAATTCCGTACAGTCGTCTCTGAAGTCTCATCCAATGTGGGTAACCCTGTTAAACCAACGAAAATAACTATAATTCCATCATTTTCAAGGCAATTTTATACAAATTCTTTCATTGAATTTATTCTTTAATTTGTAATATTCTGTCCAAAAATCGTTGCTACAAACTCTGATTTTCTAATCCCTATATCTAAGAAACCGACTGTTGCATAACTTAGATATTTCAAACTATATGCTGTTAGATCAAACAATCTAAATTTGAAATATTAAAGGTTTATACTTGTAAAGATATAGTGATTAAAAAATTTGAGTTTGTGACAAATACTCAATTCCTTTTTCAGGATTTGGCCCGTCCGTATGATCCTAAGAAGTCCTGTTGGTTTCCCCTGAAGGAAGGAGGGTTTGCTGAAGGCGTCATTGAGCAGGCCGAGGGGGATAAGGTAGGGTTTGCTGAAGGCGTTATTGAACAGGCAGAGTAAGATAAGGTAGGGTTTGCTGAAGGCATTATTGAGTAGTCAGAGGAAGATAAGGTAGGGTTTAATGAAGGCGTTATTGAACAGGCAGAGGAAGATAAGGTAAGGTTTGCTGAAGGCATTATTGAAAAGGCAGAGGAAGATAAGGTAGGGTTCGCTGAAGGCATTATTGAACAGGCAGAGTAAGATAAGGTAGGGTTTGCTGAAGGCGTTATTGAACAGGCAGAGTAAGATAAGGTAGGGTTTGCTGAAGGCATTATTGAGTAGTCAGAGGAAGATAAGGTAGGGTTTAATGAAGGCGTTATTGAACAGGCAGAGTTAGATAAGGTAGGGTTTGCTGAAGGCATTATTGACCAGGCAGAGGAAGATAGGTAGAGTTTACTGAAGGCGTTGTTATTGAGCAGGCAGAGGGGGATAAGGTAAACACCTCTCTCCTAATAAAATAAACAGATGAAGTAGAAATGAAACAGCAGAATTTTAAATAAACAAAACTGTCACTTTTGTAACATTTAGGCAAAATATAGAATCTAAAAGTCGATCTATTCATAGAGCATGATTATAATCAACTTTAAGATTGAGAGATTGATAGCGTTTTTTTTATTTGAGTTTTGTTAAGTTTAAAAGAGGCTCTACAAAAAATTTAAATTTTGATCACATTTTGAATTGTCTTCTCTATAGTTTTTTTGTGTAACATTTAACTAGATAGTTAAGCGAATGTTAAGTCGACATTTTTATTTTTAACTTCCCCCAATTAAATAGTTTGAAGTCCCGTTCAAAAATGTTCCCGTTTAATCATTATTTAAGAAAACAATGTTGTATTTATTTAAATTTGAAAGTTTCCTACTTTTTTTTTGCTGCATAAATCTGCAAATTAACCTCATAGAGAAACCCCGATTGGAAACAATCGATTTACAAATAAAAAAATTAAACCGTTTCTTACGTTTTATAGAAAAGTTTAATACTTCGTTACTTCCATAATAGTATAATCATAATTAAGCTGTACTGGAAGAAATTATTTATTTAATTTTTGCAAGATGCTAATTATGTTTGTTAATTGGAAAATTTAATTAGTGTCTGTGATACAAAGGTTTCATTCGTTACTTTCATATTATAATTTTTATAGTTAAGCTGTAGATACTGGAAGTATTCATTTATTTTCTTATAAAACATAGACAATTAGATTCCCGAGCCTCAAAGAAATTAACTCTTTGCCACAAACTCTGATTTTCTAATCTCTATATATTTACAACCCAATGTCGTAGACCTTAGCTATGTTTACTGTAAAATGAGTTATGTGATAAAATATGTTAGAAATATCACATTGTAAAGATGGAGGGTATTCTCTTTGCTTCAGTGACGTTTTAAAAGGACTGTGAGTTAGGGTGGGTCAATTTTGGAACCAAGCTTGGGGCCCTACCGCCATAACTATTCTAAGAACATCACAAAAAAGGGATCGAAAAAAGTTAAATTATGAGCTGAGAGCCATTTTAAGGAAATAATAGATAAATACATTACTGGTAGGACCGACAAATAATTCTTTAATAATATTGATAGTTAAGGAAAAATTTATCTTAAGTCGCATAATGATGTCCACATTTTAGTTTTTTGATAAATATGAATTTGTTTTATTTTTGGCCAAAAAACAAGTTTTTATGGGACTCATTTTTCCACTCATAAACCATTTTTTTTTTTTGGTAAAATAATGAAAATCCCTGAAAATTTTTTCATCTAAAATCAGTATTTTATGACAAATCTTTTTATATTGATTTGTTTTTAAGATTTTTTTCGGTCTCACTATAGTGACTTTTAAATCTATTTCTTCTGAAAATATCTCTCAGATCGTTATTTTATAAAATTTTTGAAAAATTCAAAATGGCAATGACCGATTCATAACTGTACCCGGACAAGCATTGTCTGATTAATTATGAATTAGATGTTAAATTATAGATTGAAATTTTATTATTTTTAAATTTTGGTCCCTCTACAAAAGTAACTTTTCAATATCGGAATTATCATAATGAAACACTTTTAAAACTAGAAAAACGTCAATATTTTCCACATTATTAATCAAAGAATGGTTTCAAGGAAACTGATCTGAACCTGGCATTGCCATCTTTGCATGAAGGAACACTTGAAACAATATTCATTAACCTGAGCCAGAAACCACAAAAAATTTTAATTTTTTTAGGAAAAAAAGTTAAAATGCAGGAAAAAATCAGGCAAAAATCTACCAAATTGATTGAAATATAACACCTTTTACTTTATACTACAGTAAAACTAACGATTTCCTGGATTACGCTTACAGTTCCTTTAAACTTTGAATGGTTACAATCATAATGTTGACATAGAAATCTTGAATTTTATATAATTAAAGGTTGTTGTGAAGTATAATGGAGAGAAGAATCTGCTCCGAAAAGATCAAGTGCAGCAGGTTAACCCTCCAAAGTTTGAGAGATGCGAGGACATGTCCAACCTCACTTATCTCAACGAGGCTTCTGTTCTTCATAATCTGAAAGCAAGGTTGGATAAAGAATGTAATCAATCTCTTTTTTCAATTCTTTTACTTTCTTCTTGAGATTTCCAATTTCTTCTGGATCCGTTTGGATCCGTGAAGGCCTTGCAGAACCTTCTCTGAGGCTTTTAAGAATCATAAGCACAGTGTGGTATTCTGAAAACAAAAAATTAAGACACAATCATACCATATATAATAGACTCGGAATAATTGTCATTTAAACTTTTTTCAGCATTTTTGATAAGTTTTGTTTAGCATTTAAGGGTTTTTTCATGGTTTCTCATTCTAAACAGCTTCAGTAAAGACTCTGCAAGGCCTTTAGGCACCAAAATTGTTATTGTCAAGTATTTTCTGTTTACTAAAATACTTGAAAAATACTGGAAAAAATCGTGCAAAATTATTTGAATTTGAATAAAAGTAAATTATCTAAGCATTACATACTCTCTGGACACTGCATAATGTTTTAAACTAATTTTAATTTCAAAGTTTTGGATGCTGCAAATATAATATTTAGATTATGTTGATGATCAGATTCTTTGAAGTATGAATTAATGATATGGCATAAACGTCTTATTGGGAATGGATTGAATTAACCTTTTATATTTTAATCTGTATTTGAAAGATTATAAAGAATTAGATAAAATATCAGATTTTGATGAATAATGGCACATGATCTAACCCATCCTTTTCTTTATAAAACTCTTTCTAAACTTAAAGAGACATAATTTTAAACATATCTGATTTACAACAATAACCTTCAAAAAGGAATTGAGTCTTTGCAACAAACTCTGAATTTCCTATCCCTATATATTTAAACCCCAATGTGGTACACCTTAGATTTTTCAAAACTTTGAATTCTGTTAGATCAAATAATCTTAGTTTAAAATATCAAAGGTTTACACCACCAGATTCAAATATAGGTTTAGAAATTCTAAGTTTGCAACAAATACTTTGTGGAAGGAATGGAAATGTTTTGGAATTAGCATCTCCTTTATTAAGGTATGTCTCCAAATTGATCTACACCTACTCTGGATTATTTTGTGTCGCCATCAATCCTTACAAGAGGTTTCCCATCTACACTCCAACTGTTGTTAACATCTACTTTGGAAAGCGACGAAATGAGGTGCCACCCCATATCTTTGCTATAGCAGATGGGGCTTATCAAAGCATGATCAACCATGGAAAAAACCAATCCATCCTAGTTACTGGGGAATCAGGGGCTGGAAAGACGGAGAACACCAAAAAAGTAATTGGATACTTTGCTGAGATTGCTGCCAATGAAAAAAACAAAAGCAAATCTGTATCACTGGAGGACCAAATCGTTCAAACAAATCCGATTCTTGAAGCCTTTGGAAATGCAAAAACTGTAAGAAATGACAACTCATCCAGATTTGGAAAATTCATCCGGATTCACTTCAACCAATTTGGGAAAGTAAGTGGAGCAGACATGGAGGTGTATCTTCTTGAAAAGTCAAGAATAACATACCAGCAAACACTGGAGAGAGGATACCATGTTTTTTACAATATAATGTCTAATGCTATTGCCACTTTGAAAAAGGATTGCTGTCTTTCAAATGAGATCAAAGATTACCACTTTGTCAGCCAAGGAAAGGTCACTGTGGAGAGTATTGATGACAAGGAAGACATGATGTTTGTGGACGAAGCCTTTGACATTCTAGGATTCTCAAAGGAAGATAAACTTGATGTCTACAAGATTACTGCAGTTGTTATGCATCTAGGAGAAATGAAGTTTAAGAAAAAGAGTAACAAGGATGATCAAGCTGAACCTGATGAGGAGAAGGCTGGTAAGAATATTGGTACTCTAACTCAGCTTGATCATTCACTTCTTTATGATAACTTTGTACGTCCTAAAATAAAGGTTGGTGCTGAATGGGTAACCAAAGGACAAAACATCACTCAAGCTCTTGCCTCTGTTTCAGCTATTGCCAGGGCTCTGTATGAGAAACTTTTCCGCTATTTGGTGGACAGATGTAATGAAACTCTTGTTAATCCAACGATGAAAAGGGTCACATTCATTGGAGTCCTGGACATTGCAGGTTTTGAAATATTTGATTACAATGGCTTTGAGCAGCTTTGCATCAATTTCTGTAATGAGAAGCTTCAGCAGTTTTTCAACCATCACATGTTTGTGCTCGAACAAGAGGAGTACATGAAAGAGGGAATCGAATGGGCAATGGTAGACTTTGGAATGGATCTTCAGAATTGCATTGATATGTTTGAAAAACCAATGGGGATCTTGTCCATTCTAGAGGAAGAATCGTTGTTTCCAAAGGCCACGGACAAAACCTTTGAAGAAAAACTAAAGAATAATCATCTGGGAAAGTCGCCAACTTTTCTAAAGCCAAAAGTTGGTGGACCAGATAAAGATGCCCACTTTGCAATTGTCCACTATGCAGGGACTGTTAACTATAATTTAACTGGATGGCTAGAGAAAAACAAGGATCCATTGAATGACTCAGTTATCGATATTCTCAAGAACGGACCTAATTCAACCTTAAAGAGAGTATTGAAGGATCTGTCTGGACACTCTACTGATGACCAGGAACCTGGTAAAAAGAAGAAAGGTGGTGGTAAAACTGTATCTTCATTTTATAAGGATCAGCTCTTCAATCTAATGCATACTCTTCACTCTACCGAACCCCATTTTATCCGTTGTGTTGTTCCCAATACACACAAGGAAGCTGGCTTGATTGATTCTATTCTTGTCATGCATCAACTTACCTGCAATGGTGTTCTGGAAGGAATTAGAATCTGCCGTAAAGGATTTCCCAACAGAATGATTTACAGGGACTTCCAATCACGGTACAGTATCTTGAGCCCATCTGAGGTTAGAGCTATCATGTCTCCTCCTGCTGGCAAAAAACCTCAATTTTCAAATGAAGAAAAAATGAATCAGAGTATGGCTCTAATTCTACTGAAAACAGCTGGACTTGAGAAAGAAAAGTATAGATTAGGACACACCAAGGTATTCTTTAGAGCTGGAGTTCTTGGTATGATGGAAGAGGTGCGGGAGGAAAGAGTAAACAAAATTATAACTTGGATGCAAAGTTCATCCAGAGGAGTGCTCTCAAGATCACAATTTGAGAAGCTGAAAACACAAAAGCAAGCACTGCTTTGTGTTCAGAGAGCCATAAGAAATTTTATGGCTGGAAAACATTGGCTTTGGTGGAAGTTATGGATTAATGTTAAGCCAACTCTTAGGTGTTCCAAGTTTGCTGAAATCAAAGAAGTACTTGAAGCAAAAAGAGCTGAGGCAGAATCAAAGATTCAAGCAGAAAAAGCTGCAAGAAAATCAGCAGAGGCAATTAATGCCAGACTTGAGGAAGAGAGACAGGAACTGGAGAAAACACTGAATGGGGGTGCCAATGCATTGCATGAAGTTAAAGAAAAAGCAACAAAAGTTGAAAATGCTAAAAGACTTCTAGAAAATGAAGTTCTGACTTCAACCAATCGTCTTCATGAGGAGGAAGAAACTAACAATCAGTTATCCAACAGCATGAAGAAAATGGCCATGGATTTCAAAAAGAGGAAAGAAGACATTGAAATGATGGAGCATAAGCTTGCTAAAGCTACAGAAGATAGACTTACAAAAGAGTCTCAAATAAAGAATTTGAAAGATGAGCTCACCCATCAGGATGAACTGATTGAAAAACTACAAAAAGAAAAGAAATGCAATGCTGATGGACGTCAAAAGATTGATGAAGACTTGCAAGCAGCTGAAGATAAATCTAACCATCTTAACAGGCTTAAGATAAAACTTGAGCAAAATTTGGATGAGCTTGAGGATTCAGTTGAAAGAGAACGGAAGTCCAGATCTGAAGCTGAAAAGCTTAAGAAAAAAGCTGACATTGATTTGCGAATCTCCCAAGAAACTGTTTCTGAACTTGAGAAAAGTAAATCAGAAGTCAATGTTGCAATCCAAATGAAAGAAAAAGAGCTGTGTGCCATTCAAGCCAAGATTGAAGATGAGCAAAGCTTGGGAAGCAAGATGCAAAAGCAAGTTAAAGGTTTAGTTGGACGACTTGAAGAGCTAGAAACAGACCTTGAGGGAGAAAGAAACAATAGGGGAAAGGCTGAAAAAACAAGGCACACTTTGAGCAGGGAAATTGAAGATCTTAGTGAAAAACTTGAGGAGTCTGGAAATGCTACTGCAGCTGCCATGGAAGTCAACAAGAAGAGGGAGGCAGAGTTGTTTAAGCTGAAACAGGAGCTAGATGATTCTTCTCTACAACATGAAACTAATCTGGCAAACATCAGGCAAAAGCACAATAGCATTATTTCTGATCTTGGTGACCAGATTGACCAGCTTAACAAAAGTAAAGCTAAGCTTGAGAACAACAAAAATATTCTTATGATGGAACTAAACCAATCTCGCCATACGTTGGAGGAAATGAATATGGAAAAAGCCAACATTGATAAAAACAACAAGATGATGCAAAACGACATTGTGGAGTCTTCAAACAGACTTGATGATCTGTATCAAAGTTTGAATGATGCTGATATTTCAAAGAAGAAGTTGGGTTTGGAAAAAACAGATCTTGAAAAGCAAATCCTGGATGGTGAAAATGAGATAAGGAATTTGTCCAAGATGAAAACATCCCTGATGACTCAGTTGGATGATATGAAAAGGCTTTCTGAAGCAGAATCCAGGGACAAGGCTTTATTAATGGGAAAGTTCAAGGCTCTTGAAAATGATCTTGAAACAATGAGAGAGAGAATTGATGAAGAGACTGCTTTGAAAGGAGAGTATCAGCGACAGTTGTCCAAAGCTGCTGCTGATACACAGATTTGGAAGTCTAAATTTACCACTGAAGCTTTGGCAAGAATTGAAGATCTTGACAATGCAAAGTGTAAACTAATTGCAAGAATTAACGAAGCAGAAGAGTGCATTGAGGGCCTGGGCTCAAAAGTAAATACCACTGAAAAAATACGAAATCGCTATCAAATGGACCTTGAAGATCTGCAAATGGAACTGGAGAGAATAAATTCCTCAATTTCAATCTCTGACAAAAAGTTGAAAAACTATGACACAGTTGTCGGGGAATGGAAATTAAAATGTGAAGACATCAGTGGAGAATTGGAAGCAAGCCAAAGAGAATGTAGAAACCTGAACTCTGAGCTATTTAGACTGAAGGTAAATGATTATAATGCATTAAGAAAAGCTAGGGTAATCTTTATATCCAATTTGTCTAGGCCGCCTGGGATGAAGGTGTTGAGAACCTTGATGCTGTAAGGAGAGAGAATAAAAACCTCTCTGAAGAAATAAAGGTAACTAATACAGCACGCTTTACTATTCAGAAGAAGAACAGAAACATTTTTAGGTTACATAAAATTCAAAACTTTTTTGTTCTTCATACTAGCTTTTCAACAAGAGAAGATGTGATTTATATGAAAATTTATTTTATTAGTTTTTATGCTTTCTTTTATAGGATCTACTTGATCAACTTGGTGAAGGAGGAAAGTCAATTCATGAACTTGAGCGTCAACGTAGAAGGCTTCAGGTTTTTATATAACTTATATACATAAGTAAATTTAAAAATAAGAGGAATGAACTATTGATTCCTCCTAGGTTGAAAAGGATGAGTTACAAGGAGCTCTTGAGGAAGCTGAGTCAGCTCTAGAACAAGAAGAGAATAAAGTGGTTCGTGCTAGTCTAGAGCTTCAACAAATCAAACAGGAAGTGGATAGAAGACTTCAGGTAGGTCAATTCTTTATGGGGAATGAGCTCTGTAGTTTTTGTGGAGTATCGATAATCTTGAATGCTTGATCTCAATACATGCTATATAATTTGAGGATCAATGCTTAATCCCTCAATTAAAGTTATACCTGGATAGTATTATCACAACAAGCAAATGAATTAGGTCTGCATCAGATGAAGATCAATGATCGATCCCTAGATTCATAACTTCAGAGATGGAATTTAAAAAATTTGAGCCATGGTTTAAATCTACCAAAACCTGGTTTAAAATCTTGAAACATTTGATACAAATTTAAGTGGAACCTACCATATTTAAGCCACGGCTTAAATTTAAACCGCCCCTCAAATTCTTTAAATTCGGCCATTGGGTAAATGTCTGTTAACAAATGAAAGGGAATTTTTTAATTTACAGCCTTTAATCTAATACAATACCATCAGAACAATTTGAAATCTAATTATAAATTTGAATTCCAATTATTTGATCTGTCAAAACGAGATTTATGATTTCACAAAATAAAGTTTGTTATTAAATATGATATATAATAAAATGTAAAATATCAAAATAAATGATATTTAAATCAATTAAGGAAAAAGAGGAAGAATTTGAAATAACTAGGAAGAACTTTCAAAGAACTATTGACTCGATGCAGGTGACATTTAAACTTTTCTACGTTTTATAATTAGCAAAATAAAACTTTGAAATTTTATCTAAAAAAAGAGTAAACATCATTTAACTTTTTGTAGGCTGGGTTTTATCAAATAAACTGATATCCCGCCCTAACCTATAATTTGTTATCCTAATATATAAAATAGATCCAGGCGTCATTAAAAAGTGTGCAACATTATAAATTGCTGAAATTCTGATAGATTCAGTGCGAAAGTGTATCTCATACTATGAATAATGCTTTGTGACACAATTAAAGTTTAGAATATATCAATGGTTTACACCGCCAGGCTGCAGGGATATAGGAATTCAAAAACTAGAGTCTGATCCACAGTTTCTTTGTTTGAATAAAATCCAAAAAGGTTCTTTTTAAACTTTAAATTGTGTGGTTAGGCGTCTCTTGATGCTGAGATCAAAGCGAAGCAGGAAGCAGGGAGAATAAAGAAGAAAATAGGTATTGAGAATTATTTATTTATATATAACTCCGGTATAGAAAATATGAAAGAAAAACACTTTAAATGGAATATCAAAAACGTACATACAAACATTTAAAAAGGTTTTTAGAAATTTAAAAGGGTTTCTAAACATTTAAAAATGTCTTTAGTTAATATGTCTGAGGCTTGAGCATGTACTTTGTACATTGTACAAGACATTTTGCAAGCATTGCACAATTAATTTTATATTTTACAAGAAATTGTACAACACATTGCACAAGATATTGTACAAGATATTGTACATTGTGTATTTTTAGAGTCAGATATCAATGAGCTTGAAATGTCCCTTGACCACGCTAACAAATCTAACTCGGAGGAGTCAAAGCAAATTAAAAGGTAAAAATGTGTTCAAATATTTTTAACTTTAACTTTAAAAGAATAAATCCAATTAAACAAGTCAGTTGATAATCTAAGGTTATTATTTACATAATAAGCCCATTAGAACTGTTGTTATTTCTTTTCAAGGTAAAACATGTTTAAGCAGCAAACCCCCCACCCCCTCCCTTCTCCATACTTAACCCTAACCAGGCTGTGGGGGGGGCGGAGAAAGGGTAGAGTATAGTATGCTGATAGACAGTTTGTACAGAGCCCGAAATTTAAAAGAGTATCGTTGAACGAAAGAAACTTCCGAGTTTCCTTTTTGGGGTCTTATTATTTGTGTAGATTTTGATTTAAGAGATTTGATAAAAATGGTAAGATATAAAGGATTAAATAAAATAATATTTCAAAACAAAAATATCGATATCTACAAAACTGGGTAAACCCATTTGTGAAACCCGGGTTCCAAAACTGGTTTTCATAACGATACCCTGTCTTAAGTTTTGGGCTCAGGGGAATTGTACAGACCCCTTATCAATTAACATAAACATGTACATTTGAAGAAGAGGGGGATTTTTGTAGACGTCATTTTAAGCATGAATAAAAATGCAGAAACCAATTAATGTTCAGTTGTCAAGTCGATATTCTAACTCCTTGTGCAAAGTTCAACTATACATAGATTCAAAACTCCAACCTCAATAACGCCTATGACAGGGACAATAGAATCTTTTGCTAATTGTTCAAAATTAATCAAAAAGAAAATGTTCATTGTCTTTATTTAAAGAATTTTATTCAAAGAAATATTCATAGTACCATGAATCATTAAAATCCATTAATCAAAACTTCTATAAATATTTAATTTAAATTTACATTTTTATATTTTCCTTTTACTATTACTAGTTTAATCAAATTCAAAAGTACTTGAAGCATAATTTCAAGTGTGTCCCTCCAGGCAAAGAGCAGAATACACGACGGTACCGCTTAAAATCTTTAAATAATGATCGAAAGTAGAGAACTCCATGAGTTTTTGTCTAAAAAAGGTGTTAAATATTGTACTTAGAATGCACGCTTGGACTGGACAGATCTAACGTTACATATATATTTCTAGAAAACCCAGTTTCTTTTAAATATGGTGGTAATATTACATATGAAAGAAAAATGAATCAAGGCAACTACTCATATTGTTAATATTCGACGAGTCGGTTTTTCTCACGATTTATTATTTACAAATATACAAAAACTAAAGGATGATACTATACGAATCAAATATTATGAATTGAAGATGTTTCAGAGTGATGGGGGAATCTTCAGGGGAACCTCTAGTCAAGGGAGCTGGTCTTCAACTGATTCTTTTTCCCCAGATTTCGCTCCACCCTGGGCTAGCATTTAACCCTAGTACCCCGTGAGCTGGCCGGCTAGCCCACCAGCCCCCGGGTTTCTGGAATAACGGAACTTGGCGCTTGGCTTCGGTTTCTCCGCGTGGCTTGGGTTATTTATAGAATTCAAGCACAAACAGGAATAAATCCGTTAGATTTAAGGAGGGATGGAAAAAGGGGTGGGGGGAGAAACTGGAAATGATGGAAGGAGGGAAAAAATACCATTTATGATCGCAGGAAAGATCAACACATCACTTTCCTGCTACAGTAACTTGATGGAGATAGAAGGAACTATCAATGTTTAGATATGCTGGTAACTTGATGGAGATAGAAGGAACTTATACTAACTGCCTAAGTCCTCAGGCACACTGCCTGAATGAATACTTTTCCCTGTAGCAAACTAAGTCTTTGTTTAGACCCACAATTAGATTTTTAGTTTTTTAATTACACATCAGGTTATTTAAAATTTTGCTGAATATTTTGCATATTTAAAATGGTCAAGTGCTTTTAAAAATGTTTATTTTTAATTTTTTTTGGGACATTAGCAAAAAAAGGAACTTTTCTATATATATAGAAAGCAACTCTGCGCAAACTTAGAATGTAACATCCAAAAAAAGTTTTATCTTTTTTAATAAAAAATGCACAATTCTATTTGAAAGTTTAAAAAAGCATAATTCTAACTTTTGCAAAAATTTTATATAATCCGTGAATAAGATAAAAAAAATAATTACAATGACTCAATGTGCACTTTTTCTGAAATATTTATTTCTTTTGGATTACTCCCGAAGTTTGAAAAAGACATAAATTCTAAATTTTTCTATTAAAACTACTCAAAGTTTCATAAAATATTTATTCCAATATATATTGGAAAATTATTTTTTAAATTTAGGAAATTGTATCAAATAACTGACAAATTATCAAGTAGAAACAGCTATTTATTATTTTGAAGAACTTGGCTTGAAAAGTGGGCTTCGCCTTTCTGCTTTCGTTATTTACTTAAGAACTATAAAAATGTTCAGAAATAACTACAACGAAGAAACCATGACCTTGGATATTTCAAACTATGAATAATTCTGTTCAATTAAATCTTTATTTGAAAAATCAAAAGTCTACACAATAATTTTGCAAGGATATAGATATTAGAAAATATTATTTTGTTGCAAATACCCAATTCCTTTCATCTGTGAATTTCCAAAATTTAAAGGTTCTACAAAAAAAGTTGGTGCATTCGGTTTAGCCGTTTAACCTCCCATAAACCGACAGTTTCTGGCTTACAAAGGCATTGAGTCTTTGCTACAAACTCAACTATATCTCTACAACAAGATAATGTAAACCTTTGATATTTCAAACTTAGATTATTTGATCCATCAGAATTGATGGTTTGAAATAACTGAGGTCTACGAAGATATGGGGATTGATAAATCAGAGTTTGTGGCAAAGACTCAATTCCTTTTATATTTTTATGTTTGAGATTTAAGAGCAAATATTTTCTAGAAGATGTGTTATTTCTAAATGAAGTATATCGTTAAGCTTGAATTTCTTTTATTACGCAGTAAACACCCAATTATCGTGTAACAAGGAAACAGTAAGTTCTAAAACTTCAGCACAACACAGATAATAAAACCTAGACACAATTTGTTTCGGCGTGACAGTTTTTCTCTAGAATGTGTGCATTTTCTTTTCTAAACGACCATGTTGACTTTTTCGATAATATTTTTTTAAAAATTATCTATTAAAAACAATTTGACTTGGATTTATTTAATTCTGTGAAAAGAAAAATGCCTTCTGGTAGAGTATCGCAACAGTATCAATAATGTATCAATATTTTTGTTTGTTGAAACAGTTTATTTACATCTGCGGTTTCTCTGCGAAAGTGACTTGCTTATGAGAAGCATTTGAGAAATTATAAGAATTGAACACCTTTTGTGTCAGTAAAACTACAGTATCTTCTACATTTCAGATCTGATTAAGGTTTCATGGGTAACGTTATAAATCAGGCATTGATATCTTTGCAAGGATGATAACTTGAAATTACGCTTACAGTCCCTTTACTAAATGTAATTAAAGGGAATGGTTTGCACGGCGAGGTTGAGGAGGCCCGAATGCTGCTTGATACTGCGGATAGAGCTAGGAGAGGAGCTGAAGCAGAACTTGTGGAGTGTAGGGAAACAATTAGGTAACAAACAGGACATATTATCTAATAAACGGAATATTTGAAAATTAATGGACAATCCAGTTCGCCAAAAAATGGTTAATATAATAAAGTAAACTGTCATTGAGATTTGAATAAGGCTTAACCAAGCTGGGCCTGATTTTTCACGGAGTTTAGTAGAACTTCAAACCAGATAACTACTTATATATTAAGAAATTAAAACATTTAAAAGGAGTTCTAAGTTTGTAAACTAATGCCTGTAAAACATATTTTCACTGCAAATTAGATACATTTATATCTCAGTCGTTCTTTTAATGAATAATTTAGATATAGGTAATTATAAGGTGGGATTTATCCTAATATAGTACCGGCCAGCTGATAGCGTCGGCCCGGTGCGAATTTAGTGGAGCTTTGATCAGTAGAGCAATGATCAATTTGCGATTGCGAGTTTGACATTTAATACTTAAAATTAAACTGAGGATAGAAGAAAAAGTTTTTTTTTATATTGTAGCGTCGTTCCTTAATACATATATGTACTATGTAAAATTTAATTAGAATATATGATCCTAAATGTTATAAGAAATTAAACTCTGAACTTGAAACCTGCAAGAGATTTATTCTTTAAATATTAAAATTTATTTTATTTAATTAAATTCTAATTTTCTTTTACTTTTCTATTTACACTTTTGCGCAGACTTAGATTCAAAGAAGACTGTTAAAAATTTGCTTTACCCTACTCATGGTTTTTGCTTTAGCACAATTTTGCTCTTTTTGACACTTTTTTCAAGACTTCTTGAATTTTAAGAAAGATTAAGCACTCTGCTAATGTTACAGGAAAAACAAACAATAAATGAAAATTGTATTAGTTTGTGGCAGTTAAACTCAGTTTTCCTATTTCTATCCAGTCACAGGGGATAGTAGAAATTGAGAAATGGGCACGTTCCACTTTTTTCCACGCCGTTCTTTCGTCGTTCGTGAATGATCTATTTTATTCGTTTTTTTAATTGTTCAAAAAAATTGATTTTGTTAACGTTCTCAAAATTATTGTGTATTTCATATCTATTTCGTCCGTTTTCTCAGAAAACGATCGTTCTATAGAGGACGTGAGTCAGACTCTAATAAAACGCATAAATAACTTCCAGCATATATATTTCTTATAACTTATTACTAGAGGGTTCAGAACTAGAGTCAATATCGATATCGCACTTGTAGACTGTAGAGATGATATCAGTACTATGCCCCGTATCCGTTCTATCTCATTCTGTTGAATCTTGTGGAACTAGTTTAACGCGGCCAGGCATCGTCTTCCACATTTCAATAAAATTGTTCAATTCAATAAAATTGTTCGTTCAGCAAAAAAAAAATATTAGTTTTTTTTCAAAAATTGCATTTAAAGTGCATTGTTTCAAGAAGCATGAAAACGACGTCTTGAAGGTTGTTCATGTTTAGATCTTTAAATACTGTCATAAATATAAAAGAAAATATGTACAGCTGAAGGATATTTAAAACTAAAATTGTAATCTACGTATTTGTTTCAATCATAACATCTTTAATTGAAGAAGTTTTGAGAAGAAGAAAAAGTTTTTAATTTCTAGAATGTTTTTAATTTCTGAAATTTAACAAAATAAGCTCAAACTTGTTCCTATGATGAGATAAATATCTATATTTCATTATTAAAATTTAAATTAAGAAATAATAGGGAATTAATTTCATTTCATTAAATATCTTATACTAAATTTATATATATTAAATTCCATCCAGCAAATTAATTTGAAGAATTAAACGAAATACATATTATACACATTCTTAAACAATATCAACCTTTATAAAAGTGACTCAAGCTCTTACATCAATCAAGTTACCCTATACTTCCCTGTAAATTCAAGAGTGAAAGAAATATGCTTATTTTTCTTTATATGAACTTGCTTGTTCAGTGAGTTGAGCCAGGCGAACACCTCCCTGCAGTCAGATAAACGTCAGATTGAAGTAATAGTTCGAGGACTACAGCAGGAGATAGATGATCTTCTCATCAGGTAGATAATGGGAGTTATCAGGTAGATCAAGAAAGTTATCAGGTAAAGGGAGTTATCAGGTAGATAAAGGGAGTTATCAGGTAAATGAAGGGAGTTATCAGGTAGATAAAGGGAGTTATCAGGTAAATAAAGGGAGTTATCAGGTAAAGGGAGTTATTAGGTAGATAAAGGGAGTTATCAGGTAAATGAAGGGAGTTAGCAGGTAGATAAAGGGAATTATCAGGTTGATTAAGGGAGTTATCGGGTAGATAAAAGGAGATATCAGGTAAATTAAGGGAGTTATCAGGTAGATAAAGGGAGTTATCAGGTAAATGAAGGGAGTTATCAGGTAGATAAAGGGAGTTATCAGGTAGATAAAGGGAATTATTATATGGATTAAGGGGGTTATCAGTTAGATAAAGGGAGTTATCAGGAAGATAAAGGGAGTTATAAGGTAGATAAAGGGAGTTATCAGGTAGATAAAGGGAGTTATCAGGTAAATGAAGGGAGTTATCAGGTAGATAAAGGGAGTTACCAGGTAGATAAAGGGAGTTTCCAGGTAGATAAAGAAAGTTATCAGGTAAAGGGAGTTATCAGGTATATAAAGGGAGTTGTCAGGTAAATGAAGGGAGTTATCAGGTAGATAAAGGGAGTTATCAGGTAGATAAAGGGAGTCATCAGGTAGATAAAGGGATTTAACAGATAAAGGAAGGGAGTTATCAGATAGATAAAGGGAATAATCAGGTTGATTAAGGGAGTTATCAGGTTGATAAAGGGAGTAATCAGGTAGATAAAGGAAGTTATCAAGTAATTAAAGGGAGTTATCAGGTGGATTAAGGGGGTTATCAGGTAGATAAAGGGGGTTATCAGGTAGATAATGGGAGTTATCAGGAAGATAAAGGGAGTTATCAGGTAAATAAAAGGAGTTATCAGGTAGATAAAGGGAGTTATCAGGTAGATAAAGGGAGTTATCAGGAAGATAAAGGGAGTTATCAGGTAGATAAAGGGAGTTATCAGGTAGATAAAGGTAAACTTTAGATCGTTTTTAAACAAATCCCAACCCTACTCACTATAACTAGAATTATATCATTTTCTTCTCAATATATTTCGCCAAAAACTTTGGCATCATCAGGTGTTTGTCCTTACTCTTTTGAAGAGTATCCTTACTCTTTTGAAGAGTATTGAATGATAGATAAAGGAAGATATCAGGTAGATAAAGGGAGTTATCGTTGATTTTCAATGCGGGTTCTAAGAAACATATTCAGAAATAAATCAGTATGCGGCATTTACTCTATATATTAAAAAGACTTAATTTGAATTTAAAATTTTAATTGTATATTAATATTTCGGATACATATCACATATCAAGAGTCAAGACTGCTGGTCTTATGAAACGAAATTTTTATATTTACAATATTTAATCTGGATGCTAATGCAGAGGAATATACAACTTAAAAAATGTTGCCGGCAAAAAAAAACGATTTTGGAACATTTTCAAAATCCATCGATTGTTTACAGAAAACCCCCGCGAAAGTTGTAGTTTCTGACGAACAAAATAAAAAGTTGTAGTTTCTGACGTACAAAATAAGAAGTTGTAGTCTCTGACGTACAAAATAAGAAGTTGTAGTCTCTGACGTACAAAATAAAAAATGTAGTCTCTGACGTACAAAATAAAAAGTTGTAATCTCTGACGTACAAAATAAGAAGTTGTAGTCTCTGACGTACAAAATAAGAAGTTGTAGTCTCTGACGTACAAAATAAAAAGTTGTAGTTTCTGACGTACAAAATAAAAAGTTGTAGTTTCTGACGTACAAAGTAAGAAGTGTTGGCATTACAAAGCTGAACATATAAAAAAAAAGGTTTGTTAATGGAAAAGAAAGAAACTGTTATTTATTCTTGTATAATCTATTTAGGTTCTTGAGGAATGTTTTATTCAGACAATTAATATTTTATATATAAAAATAAAAATTTAAGGTTAGATATAAATATATATTATTTTAATCTTGTTGAAATGCCCTTCAATGCATATTAAGAATCACGAAAATTTGAAAAATAAGAAAAATTTTATTGCAATTGAAAATATCATCCAAAATGGAAAAAAAATTCAATAGTTTTGCCAACAGTATAGTACATAGATCATGTAGATATTATTTTTTTCTGCTAATAGCCCTCAAACAGTTTTAGAGTTAATGCCACAACCTTCATCTGATCTAAACTGTATTTTTCTAGCTTAAATGGTCTTTATGATAATTTATGATAATGCCATACGTTGTTTCTGCACGTAATTATGATATTTTAGTAAAGAAAAACATTGATTTCTCATTCACTCCTGACCATACATACAAAGCTTATCTGTGTACCATTGAGTATCAGATGTTTACATTTTATAAATAAAGGATCGCGTGCAATTATGTCTACGCTCTACAGTCCCTTTAAAATGTGTCTACACTCTACAGTCCCTTTAAAATGTGTCTACACTTTACAGTCCCTTTTAAATATGTCTACGCTCTACAGTCCTTTTAAAATATGTCTACACTCTACAATCCCTTTAAAATATATCTACACTCCACAGTCCCTTTAAAATATATCTACACTCCACAGTCCCTTTAAATTATGTCTACGCTCTACAGTCCCTTTAAAATATGTATACACTCTACAGTCCCTATAAAATATGTCTACACTCTACAGTCCCTTTAAAATATGTCTACACTCTACAGTCCTTGTAAAATATGTCTACACTCTACAGTCCCTTTAAAATATGTCTACGCTCTACAGTCCCTATAAAATATGTCTACACTCTACAGTCCCTATAAAATATGTCTACACTCTACAGTCCCTATAAAATATGTCTACGCTCTACACAGTCCCTTTAAGATATGTCTACGCTCTACAGTCCCTATAAAATATGTCTACACTCTACAGTCCCTTTAAAATATGTCTACACTCTACAATCCCTTTAAAATATGTCTACGCTCTACAGTCCCTATAAAATATGTCTACACTCTTCAGTCCCTTTAAATTATGTCTACGCTCTACAGTCCCTATAAAATATGTCTACGCTCTACAGTCCCTTTAAATTGTTCAGCGTGAAGAACTCTGAGGAGAAGAGTAAGAAAGCTATATCGGATGCTACCCGACTAGCTGAGGAGTTAAGAACAGAACAGGAGCATGGAATAACAGCTGATCGTCTGGCTAAATCCAGCCAGGCGCAGTGCGCAGAACTTCAGGTAAGAAAACCGGTTTTTTAGAATTTGTTATGTACATAAAATATGTTCAAGTACCTAGCTGGGAACTCTTGTGTTGGATAATCTTAATCCCGATCGCTTCAGATCTTGATATCCACTGAGAGCACCTTTAAATTGATGATCAATACATTTTAATTTATTCTTCCCCCTCGGGTCTTTTTGATGAAAACAAACAAATCAGTCAATTTAAAATTAGATTATTCTTGTAACCTACATCTTTATATAAATTAGTAATCTCTGTTTGATTGTTTGTATGTCCGATCATAACTTATGAACCCCTGGACCGATTTGCCTCAAATTTTGGTTGGGGAACTTGGGAGAACCACGATAATGTTCTTAGCTTTCGATACTTTAAGTTGTTACAGGGAAAAATAGGAAAAATCGGAATTTAAGACCAAGTGCTGGTAAACGGCGGGAGTAATAATAAGTTTCCAAGTAACGATGGCTAGTTATATTATATATTTATATCTTTTCAAATGATCCTCTTCAATTTGTCTTAAGATATCCTAATTTTTATCAGAAATATAAATATGTATATAATTAATTGGTCAACAAAATGAGATTTATTTCTTTTATATCACAAATCACATATACATAGAGTTTCAATAAATTGTTTGCATATCATATTTATAGCTTTAGTTGATTGCATTATTTTATTTCATATATATATATATATATATATATAGACATAAAAAGACTGGAATAATGTGAAATAGAGATTTTAACTATTAATATACATATACATTAATGCTGAAGTTTTGATCTCAAAAATGTTTTAGCTTTTTCGTCATTAAATCAAAACAATAAAACGGCCTTTTCATAAAAACTTCTTGAATATGTCAAACAACTATGTAATAATGAAAAATGCATTAAAACTAAATAACATCGATCGTATCTAAGCTTCTGCCATCTTAAACTGAATAAGAATGATGAGATAGGTTACAGTGGTCGATATTATACTGAAAATAGAAAATATTATTCACATTGTAAAAAGACCCAGTCGTCTAAAAATTGTCTCACACAATTTTTGACTAAATTTTGGAAAAGGACCCGATATATCAACCTCCACCCCTAACCCTAGATTAGACCTAAAACTCTAAAATATGACGATCCACGGGTTTAATTTTTTTGCCTTTGCTTTTGCTGGCCTTGAAAAATTGAACATGCATTTTAACCCTATACCTATTCTTTAAGGTCTTTTTCTAGGGGGGGGGGGGTCCCAGGTTTAACATAGATTCAGCCCCCCCCCCTTAGCCATAATAGGGCTAACAAATAAATTTACAGAAAATCATAAATGTAAGAAAAAAGCGAATAAAATGTGCACAGTCGTCTCTGATGTCTCAACCTTTTTGGTAAGCCCTGTAAACTGTTGCTTGTCAGAGCAAACTTTTTGCATACTTTGAAGAATTCAACTTTTATATAATAAAATCATAATTTTGTTAAACATCTCAGATTTTCAGGAGGCATTTTAAAACTCCCAAACTCATACTCTTTCCCATATATAGAGTTATATATAGATTTATATATTGAGTTGTATATAGAGTTATATATAGAGTTATATATTGAGTTGTATATAGAGTTGTATATAGAGTTATATATAGAGTTGTATATAGAGTTATATATAGAGTTATATATAGAGTTATATATAGAGTTATATATAGAGTTATATATTGAGTTGTATGTAGAGTTATATATAGAGTTATATATAGAGTTATATATAGAGTTATATATTGAGTTGTATATAGAGTTATATATAGAGTTATATATAGAGTTGTATATAGAGTTATATATTGAGTTGTATATAGAGTTATATATTGAGTTGTATATAGAGTTGTATATAGAGTTATATATTGAGTTATATATAGAGTTGTATATAGAGTTATATATTGAGTTGTATATAGAGTTATATATAGAGTTATATATAGAGTTATATATAGAGTTATTCAACGCATATTTTCCAGAAAAAAAATTGGATTAATCTATCTTCGTGAAATAAGATAAATATTTGTATAGAATAACATGGTTACAAAATAACTAAATAACACTCCAACAAGGAAGGGGTGGCTGCTCCCAGGGTTTTGGAATTGCCCCAGGGTTTTGGAGTTGCTCCCAGGGTATTGGAGTAAAATGTGAAAATTTATCCGACCTTTAGAAGAGAAAAAAGGGCTTCTGTTCCCCTTTTTTACTGTCTTTGTTCTTTGTATTAGAATTTTACTTCTAAAATTAGGTTTAAAAATAAATGCTACAAATTAATTAAAATGATCAAAATAAATGCTACTGTCATATTTCGTGTGACACCCTGTATATTTTGTGAATCCTTTTACCTAACAAGTGTACTGCGTTCAATAACAAAATATTGGAATGCAGTAAACGAGCCTAATCTTGAATAGCTCCTGAAAAAATACAAAATATGTTTGTTAGAAGGGAATAAGATCATTTTATAAAATAACATTTTTCTAACGACGAAAAGTTTCACAGTATTTGAAAAATCAAAAAATATAGTTCTAATTTGTGCAAGCATGAATAGGACTACACAAAGTATAAGTGAGTTAATGAGGTATAATTAAAGCATTGCGACACTGTAAAGTCAACCAACTTTTGTGTATTGAATTGATACATTAACATTTAATTTCTAATGGTTAAAACTTAAAAGTTTCAAAAAGAAAAGGTAGGAAAAATATCAAATAAAGATTAAGCTTCATTGAACCATTACTTAATTTTGCAAAACATTTCTTCATTTTCTTTGAAGAAAATCACTAACTAATAAAATCAAAATTCGAAAACTTTTGATATTTTAGAAAATAGAAATACCGAATCAATTCCTTAAACTCTCTTCTTGTATATTTCTCAGTAGTTTCTCTACTTGCCAATTCCATTCGAACAATAGCGTCTAAAAATAGATGATTATTAAATACATAACATTGAAAAACGTGTCGAAATTCTTTAAAATACATTCGCTTTTTCAACACTATAGCACTCTAAAGTAAGCTAGAAGGATAGATCAAATCAGGAGCGGATGCGGGGGGGGGACATTCTCCCCCCCCCTGAAAGATTCAGTGAGGGGCGTAGCATGCTTAAGGGAAAGAAACCCTAGTGCAAAACAGGAAAAATATCTGTCTTAATAAACTATGATGTGTGAAAAGTTAAAAATCTAGTTTTTTAGTCTTTAGTCCTCAATTTTGACTCTTTTTGAGTCTTTTAAGTTAAAAAAACCTCCCCCCCCCCTCACTTAAATCCTGTATCCGCCCCTGGATCAAATAGGCCTATTTCAACACTCTAGCACTCTACAGTAAGCTAGAAGAATAGGCCAAATTAGGCATATTTAAACACTCTAGCACTCTAAAGTAAGCTAGAAAGATAGTTAAAATAGGCCTATTTCAACACTCTAGCACTCTAAAGTAAGCTAGTAGGATAGATCAATTAAGCCTATTTCAACACTCTAGCACTCTAAAGTAAGCTAGAAGGAAAGGCCAAATTAGGCCTATTTCAACACTCTAGCACTCTAAAGTAAGCTAGAAGGATAGGTCAAATAGGCCTATTTCAACACTCTATCACTCTAAAGTAAGCTAGAAGGATAGATCAAATAGTCCTATGATAGGCCGGGTACTGTAAAAAGTCTGGCCGCGCCATTAAAGTTGAAACCGAGTCGGCATATGATAAGGTCGGGCTGCAGTACTTACAGCGCGTCACTAAAGCCGGTACAATGGGTCGGTCTGGTTCGAGTTCAAATTGACTTTAATCCGGCAGTGCTAGATGATAGATGTTGAATAAAGATAACATTTTTTAAAATAGATTTCAGTTAAAAGTTTTGTTTACCTTTCACATTACATTTTAGATCTGGCATGTCTTGAAAGTAATATTCACTTAAAATTACATCTACAGTCTTTCCATAACATTTTAATAATAAGGCGTTTACCTTCGAGAGAGTTTTTAGCTTTCTCTGATTCTTCCACCACGGTATAAAAGAGCAATAGCAACAGCGACGGGAAAAGCGTTGAACTTGCAACCTCCAGGAGGAAAATGTTTATTTCTAAAAAAAATTGTGACGCTGTCAGATTTTAGAAAATTTTGTTGATTGGTGTCGTCCTTTTTGGGTCAACCTGTTAACGAAAAATGACATTTGTTTATTGTCTGCAACATCTATATTTTTTCGATAACATTTTAAATTTGGTTTTGTTCTTTATTACAATATGATGTGTACTGAGATATCTTCTGTTGAAAACAACATTATAAGAAAATCTGTTTGTGCCACTAGTTTAATACCTTATAATAATAAGGAACATCAGCATTCTGTAAAATAAAAACAAACAAAACATTGTTTTTAAAAAGTTTTACGCAATTTACGCATCATTTATGAAATCAAATAGAACGTAAATTGAAAATGCGTAAAGGAACAGATCTCTTGCTACAAATAATAATTTTCTGAATGTCGTAGATCGTTGATACTTCAATTCTGCTTTATCACACTCAACTCATGTACATTTACTTCTGAACCGGTCCTATAGTTTGAACTGCCCCGCCCAGTACACCGACTGCATTGGCATACATACGGCAGGGATTAATATAGTTGGTCTAGCTCTATAGGCAGGGCTAGCTGGTACTAAAATGACGCCGTCTGACTTTAAGCTGCATGTGCTTAAATTTACTACCACTAAAGCGGCAATTTTGCGTGTTATCTGTTAACCATCTTCACTTGTATACAATGATAACCAGAAAACAATGGAAGAGGAAGTCAACGTTTTAGCAATACTTAAGTGTATTTAATCCTGTTACGAAGAAAATTTACTAATATATCACGCAAATTTTTGAGGCAAGTGTATAGTTTATACTGCACGCTTGCTGTGTCTCGATCATGCTTATTGAACTTTTTAAAAAATGAATTGATTCTAAAAAACATTTTCCTTATTCAAAGTTTTTCTGGTTATATCTGTTGTTTGAGAGAAGTATCGTTTAAAATACCTGGAACAGCCCTCATTGATAAAAGTTTCCCACAGGAAATATAGATTCCAAGAATTAGAAATGTCTGGCAAATTATTCCAATCGGAAACATCACCAACCCGGTACAGGTTCCTTTCAAATATACAATTTTGATTTTTACACAGTATACTATCTTTGCAACGATAGCAACGGACCTTTGATATTTCATACTGTAAATTATGTTAGATAAAATATCAAAGGTTCAAACCATCAGGATGCAAAGTGTGTGGAGAGTGTTTAGTTCACGGCCCGCTTGTATATATGCCTCTATAAATCGAACTATTCTGGCCCAGCGTACATGTTATTTTGTGGGTATGCTTCACAGCTGTAAAAGCTGAGTGGACCCTAGATTTTTTGGGAAATTTTTTTAATCTCTGCATAGTGTACTTAAAGTTTAACTCTATCAAATTTTCACTCTGGCAGTCGTTTATTCTATAAAAATAAGTTGTTCTTTTTAAATAGTTTGAATTGAAGTTCAAGGTCCAAATCATTGAAGAGCTTTGGTAGATCATGGGCCCTAGAGTAAACAAAAATGAGATACGGTCGCTATAATCTTGTAAACTTAGCATTGCCTCCCAACAGTTGGGTAGCATCAAATGCGCCTTGTTTTAAAATTTCCAAAATGTGGTCTGCCGTTTTTTTACCTTAAGAATTGACTGAGATATTGAGAATTTAGTCTAAAATTAAAAGTATTATATTTCCAAGGTTGTTTAAATCTTCAGTATCTTCGACTATTTTGATGATACAAAGAAGGAGGCTAAATTTTAAAGACAATGTTTTTTTATATTTTTTTGACAATAACAAACTTTACGAAAATCAAAGAAAAAAGTACTGCAGTAGACCCCACCCAGAAAATTACATCAAAGCTTGACTATGATAAATCCAAAACACAACTGTTTACTGAAGATGTTTTTTCCACATTTTTTAGAAAAATATTTTGATCTGATTTGACCCCTCTTTAGTTCTTGAGCTTTGTTTCTTTCATTAAGATTGAAAACATTCAAACGCACAAAAAATATACCAAATTAATCAACAACTATATAAAAGGCTTTATGTTACCTAGATTTTCGTAAATACTTTTCAAATTCTTGAACTCCATTGGAGTCACCATTTTCTTCTTTACAACGTTTTCCATCGAATCCAAATAGCCTCAAAAAAAATGTGATATAATTAGAAAAACATGATAGTTCTTATTGCAGCAGAAACAAAGATACGATATCAAATTAGAAGCAATTTTATCCAAATATTTTAATATGGAACAAATGCGCATCGAATACTGCCGACTATTTGTTTGAGTTTGAAATCTTTAAAATTGTTCCATTTCGGGTCATTTTTTAGAGGACTCAGACAAATATCTGTCCTAAAATCATATGTTTCCATTGTGAAGAACTTGTTTTAAAGTTTCTAAACAAAATATTTTTGAAGATGAAATAAAACCTATATAATCATATTTTGAAGAAAAAGGTTTAATCGTGTGAGTATTTATCAAGAAAGATACTAAATAGTTTAGCTCTGAATCTGGGGGGTCTGAATCTATGTTTAGCCTGGGCGGGGAGGGGTGTAGAGTTAGAGAAAAAGTATAAAGTTGCAATTAATGTGCATAGCCAAATTTTTCAAGCCAGCTTATTAAAAAAATAAGACTGATAACTTTATTAGTTTGGAGGTTAGAGAGGTTTGAAAAAAATGTCAAAAAAAGGTCGGAAAATGTAAAAAATAAATATTAAGATGTGACACATGTTTCTATGTCCAATTTTCTAGGGCTTTGAAAAGATGAAATTTTTAGATCCGTAGTTTTAATCTAAAAAAGTTATGACATATTTTTGATTTTTTAACACAGATCTTTCCGTCCTTTATCCCGCCCTATGCATTAAAAAAATCCTTTGAATTACTGTTTCTTAAACGACAAAAATATCAAGGTTATTGTGTCAAGAATAAGAGTTCTTGAACAAAAAAAATAGAGGGAGGCGTCGACCCCCCCCCCCCCAATTTTTTGAGTAAAAAAGCATATAAACAGTTTGCCTTGAATCCATCCTAGTAGATGAAAGAAGAGACAAATGATAGAAAAAACGGTTGCAACGTCTAGAAGGGAAAATGCTGTAATGAAAACCCCTCCAAGCAAATACTCCATTCCTAAAATGCCAAGGTTTGATTATTTTTGACAAAAGCATACATTTGGAATTTAAGGCTGTGAATTAAAAAAAAAATTACAGTTCTTGTGCCAAACTAACATCAATACTTGAAAATATATTGTTTTTAATATGTTTTTTAACTGTTTTAACCATGAAGTCTAATAAAGGGACAGTCACCAGTTTAAATGATTTGGTGACCGATTTACAAGGTACCCATAAACCTGCGCTAATTCAAGGGTGTAATGCAAGGAAAGTTATTCGCATTGCGGAAGTTGTGTTTACATTACCGCCAAGAGACAGTACACTGCAGTTAAAAGATGTGTACACTTCTGAAATAACTTTCCTTGCATTACACCCCTGCGCTAATTCAAGGATTTCTAGATATTCTTATTTAATTAGGTGGAAATTATCGAAGTTATGGACTTTATGGAAGTTATGGAAGTTATTGAAGTTATGGAAGTTATGGAAGTTATGAAAGATATGGAAGTTATGGAAGTTATGGAAGTTATGGAAGTTATGGAAGTTATGGAAGTTATGTACGTGTACAGTCCCTTTAAGAAGTTTTACAAACAATATTATTGACCTGATGTCCGAATAAGAATATCATGAAAGATCTGAGAAAGATTTCCTCCCGCAAAACATCCTAAATACAAAAATATGATAGAATAGCTCAAGTTGCCCGTGGAATAAAAAAATCGAATTAAAAAAATCGATTTTAGAAAAGAAAAATTTAGAATTTTTTAATGCCTTTGTTACCCCGGGGTATATGAGCAAAGAACGTTATAGAAAAATACATAGAATCTTTAAAAAAAGAAGGTCGATATTTAAATCAATTTGTATTAAAACGAGTAGAAGTGGAGACAAGAACATGTCAACACAGCTCTAATTTATTATACTCGCAATACAGACCAAACAATTCCTTCTTTACAATCGTTACAAATTAGCAACTTATAACTTATAATTGAAATATAATTTGACCTGCTAGGATAACAAGGAGAATCATTTTTATCTGAGTTTTATTTTTCCAGTTTACAGGGCAATAGGTGAGCATTAGAGAACAACATTTCCCTATATATAAATATATATTTCAGGAATAGAATAGAATAGCATATATAGAATATAATAGAATAGAATAGAATATAATAGATGAATAGAATAGAATAGAATAGAATAGAATAGAATAGAATAGAATAGAATAGAATAGAATAGAATAAAAAAGAATAGAACATGAATTATCCTAGATTATATAAGATCAGAAGAGAAGAGGAAAGTGACAAGACAAAACATTTTGTTTTAAAGAAAAATTTTAATTTACAACTATCATCACTTTTAAATATACAACATAACTTTGTTTTAGTTCTACTTTTTTCTTTATGTATTTAATGATAAAATTTATTCTGAAATACTCCTAGGCCAAGCTTCAAAAGTCTGCAAGAATGCAAAGGAATTGAGTCTTTGCCACAAAGTCAAATTTTCAAATCCTAATATCTTTGCAACTAGATAGTTTAAGCCTTTAATATTTCAAAAATTGATTATTTGATCTACCAGAATTCATAGTTTGAAATCTCTAAGGTCTACGACATTAGGTTGAAAAGATACAGGGTTTAGAAAAATAGAGTTTGTGGCAAAGACTCAACTCCTTTGAAAATATTAGTTGCGACACAAAAAAATGCAAAACTGTCTACATACTCAAGAAAAACTAGATGTGCCTTTATTTAGAATGTAAAAAAAAGGAAAATTGTATCGCAAAAAAAGTAAAGTAAGGGTCATGTGTTAGTAGGAAAGTTCAAGTTTGAAAGTCTCATACTTATGCCTTTTCAGTGCTATAAATAGTCCCCGACTGCCCCCCCCCCTTCTTTATACCTAGGGTTATTGGTGATACAAACACTACCCCCACTATAAATAAAATATTTATTTTAGAATTCATTTTTTTTATATTTCTCAGATAATCTTTTATTATTATTATTTGTAGAATTTTTCATCATAATTAAGTTTATTTTTATTCAAACTGAATTAAACTAAACATAGTTTTCTACGTCAAAGAGATTTTATAATAAAAAAATTCCTAAGCCAACAATAATAATTGTCTTCACTACTCGGTCAATATTCTCTTTTGGGAGAAAAACTGAAAATTTAGATTTTGATTTTTTCTTTTAGATATTATGATGTCGTGCAAATATTTTTTAACAGTGTTAAGTTTTTATTAATATATTGTTATTGAAGGAACATAGTTATTCACATTATTTTCGTCCAAATAAATTTAAGTTTTTGACTCAAATTTCAAACATAGCATATAGTAATAGATCTAGCAGAATACAAAGTTTAAAATATGAAAGCACTGTGAGTAAAAGGTCTCAAGCTGCCAATATGAAAGCACTGTGATTAAAAGGTCTCAAGGTGCTAATAACTTCTTAAAACCCAAATCTAACAAAAAGTGTTTTGTAGCGAGACTTCTTATATAAGTAGGTTGAGTCTATGTAAAGGACTGCAAATATTTTCAGAATTATGAAATTGTATGAGGAGAAAATCAGTTCCTTGGGGAATTTTCGAATTTCCTTTTAAAGAGCAAATGTAATAAATGGTTCAAATGGTTAAAACCTTTTTTTTTAAATTAATAATTAAGAATCATTTATTTTTCTGAAAAAAATATAGAATCAAAATATTCCTGAAACGTCTCCTTTCAGCCAGAAAATCTCCACAAAGACACAACCCACTACGATTATGTGGAAAACAGACAATCTTAAAACTGAAAATGAAATATAAATTATTTACAACTACTCTACAGGGAAGTTAAGGGAATTTTACTTTACCAAGGGTTAATTCCCAAGACCAATTTTGTAGACAAAATATCCAAAGCGCAGCGAGGGATGTTTTGTAGACAAAATTGGTCTAGGAAACTCGTGATTAAGTAAAATTTTTAATTTCCCGAAAAAGTAGTTGTACACAATTTTATCGTCTTTTGAGATAAAAATCTGAAAACTTCGCAGACCAGGTAGTTATTTTACATAACAGTCCTAAGGGACGTTAAATAACTAAACCTCCCTCTGACCTTTGTTGGGGGAATCATAGGTCGGTAATGTTGGTCAAAAGGCGGTTAAAGATTTTAATTTTATGGAAACATTTTATTAAATCAAAGATTTTTCAAGATTTGTAAGGTCATTTTAAGTCAAATTCAAATTACAAATTTTTACCATTCGAGATTTTTTAAATAAGGAAACTATGCATAGATTACGCCTACGTACAGGACAATTGGTAAAAGTATAATTTCGAATCGTGCAAAAAAGGAAAATAATGAATTTTCTTTTTAAGCAATCAAAAGTTTAAACGTAAAAGAACAATTAATATTGATAATTTTAAAAATAGCAACAGTTTCAAAATAAAAATAGAATTATCTAGAATTGGTTTCGTTTTAACGATGATAAACCTGATAAAAATGTGATGCATGAAAATGGTTTAAAACTTGCAGTTCCATTCTCGTTCATTGCACAAGGAATAATCCCCCACGAGATGAGAAGTCGAGTTATGTAATCGTAGTTACGATGAAATTCCTTCATCTTCTTCTTCTTCTAGGATATTTTAATAATCTTTAATTAAACCTTTTTGCTCTAAAAATATCCAGAGTTACAAAACTGAACAGTGCAGACTCTTTTTATTGACAGCATAACTGTTCTAGAAATCTATAAAAAAGTTTTTCGAAGATGCGCAATGTGTACTTTCAATTTCATTTCATTGACTTTCGATTGTAAAATTTTATTTTTCATTTTCCCCAGTCTTTGAATAATAAGTTGAAAAAAAGGTTAAACACTGGACTTACCAGTTTCAACTGGGTTTAAGTAAGAAAAGGGTGTTTCTACAAAAACCTCTGTAAATATTGACTAGGTAAATATACGTGCCGTTAATAAATTAAGAATTATAAGGATTGCTCAAGGTGTTAAAGTGTCAAAAGAAAAATAATTAATTTATTTCTAGACATTTGCTTTTTTGCCAAATTTCAAAATTTACTGAGTTTGTTTTTGAAAATAAAATGAAAAAAAATTTCCATTTGGAAATCCAAGAATCAATTTGTACAAGAAGTTTTAATTTCAAAGAAATATCTGACTGATAAACAACATGATCAAAATATATGTAACCTGAGAAAACGTGATATTTTCTTGCACATGATACCCAGTAATTGAAACATATTAAGTGTCCTTTAAAAACCTACACAAACATTTGGATTACAAAATTTCCTACGCCAATAGATTAACTCTACCAATTGCGCAATTTCTCGCAATTTTTACCAATAACTTCTTGTGCTTTATTGCTTAAGTATCTCCATGTCTAGGGATACAAAAAAAGCAAAATGAAATCAAAAACCAAAGCGTTGCAACACTTTAAAGTCGACAAAGTCTTGAAAATGTATTCAACTTTTCATAGTAGTCTGGATCTTTGTGCCGAGGCTCCCGTGTTACACAATTTGTTTTATTTTTCCAATTAGCTCAGCGAGGGTTCATATATATTAGACATTGCTCAAATTAATTATTATCAAACAGGAGGCAATATTTCTTTAGCTTATGTATACAGCGTGTCAAACTTTGCAGTAGTGGTATTGCATGTATCAAACTCCCCTATCTTAACTCTAAGGGCAAAATCATAGAGGGGGAAAGACCCCCCCCCATCCATATTAGACAAAAAAAAAAATTTATAAGTTACATGTTCTTAGTTTAACAGTATGAAACCTAGAAAATAATAATTTGAGATTTCGAAGATTTTTCTGGTTTCATTTGTGGAATTCCAAAGCTACAAAAAAAATCCTTCATAATTTTGTTTTTTTTTTGTACACAAAAGTTTGTTTTCCTCGTTTGACAAAATTCACGTTTTTCCTTTAGTCAGAAATCAGAATTGCACATTAATATCTAGATATTAATAAAAAATATTAATTTCTAGATATTAATATATTGACACAAATTTTTTTTCTAAAAGCAATGATATTTAGTCAACTAATGTAAACAATAAAATGAAACTATATAGATATAGAAAAAAAAGAATATAGAGAAAATATAATAGTTCGAATTCAAATCTATATTATTTTAATAAAGTTTTAACAAATTTTTTCTCATGATATGAAAAAACTGTGATCTTTTTTTTGAAAAAAATCATTCATTGTATTTTATTTTAAAAATCTCAAATTTGTAAAATATAAAAGATAACTTATAAAATTTTTTTTCAATCTTATAAGTATATAATTCCTTGAATATAAATAATTATTTTTAAAATGCTCAAATAAAAGTTGATCATACTTAAAGGGACTGTAAGCGTAATTTCATGTGACCCTCCTCGGTACCCTTAAAAGGTTTGTATGATTAAGTATGAATTATAAATGTTTATAATTTTGAAATTATTTTGCTCATTTCACTGAAGAAAAACATATAGAGATTATACATAAAGTTTATATACATAAATATATTGCTAGATAAGACTAGAAGATGCTGAATCTATTGCTGCTAGCTATGGTAGAATAGAATTGCTAGTTTATATATAAATATATTTCTAGATAAGACTAGAAGATGCTGAATCTATTGCTGCTAGCTATGGTAGAATAGTATTGCTAGTTTATATATATAAATATATTGCTAGATAAGACTAGAAGATGCTGAAGCTATTGCTGCTAGCTATCGTAGAATAGTATTGCTAGTTTATATAATCATCAATTTGTAATTGTAAACTCGTTCTCTATACAGATACATGTATTTTAGCTATAAACTTTATCTTATCTTATCTTATCTTATATATATATATAACTATATTGATAGATAAGACTAGAAGATATTCAAGCTATTGTTGCTAGCTATGGTAGAATAGTATTGCTAGTTTATATATACGAATATATTGCTAGATAAGACTAGAAGATGCTGAAGCTATTGCTGCCAGCTATGGTAGAAAGATGATTGCTAAGCTTGAAGAGAAAATACGAATGCTTGAATCTGAACTGGGAACTTGCCAAATAAGGTAAATTCTACGAAAATTCAACATTTTGTTATGCAAAATATTTGCAATTTTCTGAAAATATTTGCAATATTGTTTTACCTTAAATAATCTTCATAAAGCATTAAAAGTATCCATCGTTATATTATGTTTAATTAGTGATTAACGCACAATTACTAATTATAACTAGTTAGTTACTGAAAACAATATAATTTGGTGTAATGTTTTAAACGGAAATTTTAAGTAGTTTTTAACAATTTTCTCCTTATAGACTCAACCGACAGAAGTAAGATTAGTAGCGATCAAAAGCGATTAATTTTCGCCTTAAGCCTATATCCCCTTTCATTTTTCGCGAACACTCCCTTTTAGAAATTATCTAAAATTCTAATTAACAAATATAAAAAAACATTAATTCTCAACTCGCTAACGAATGGAAAACTGTGAAAAAATATCATGCTATATTTTAAAACTAAAATTTTTGTTAATTTGTATTCCTAATCTGCCCTAACCCAGATGGTTCTAGACAATCAGAATTTATGGCAACTGACCTAACAGTTCATCTGACTTTTGTCTGTTACGATTATCTGAAAATTTAGGGACTAAAAGGACTTTGTTTTTACAGGTCAGCTGAGACTCACAAAGCTGCTCTAAGAACAGATCGTAAGATCCGTGAGCTAGAGTTCCAAGGTGAAGAGGAGAAGAAAAAATTCCAAAAACTCGGAGAAATCGCGGAAAAGTTACAGGTGCACTTTTCCATCCACAGTGATCCAAACGTTGCTAGCTTTCAAGCAAATATTGATGAAAATTTTCCTAGTTTCTTTTTTTTAAATTAAAGCTTAAGACAGTGCTTCTTAGCATTTTTATTTACTACAAAGGGAATTTTTTAATTCATATTTTTCTGTTTGATTTTTAGGTAACCATGATCTCAAACCTACATTTTTAAAAAGCCAATAAAAAAAGGTTGAATGAACATGCGTAACATGTTATTATTTGTCAAAAACAAAAACAAATAGTTTACATTTTTTTCAACCATTTTTTTAGCTAGCAATTAGGCTATGATCATGCATTGCAACTCTATAGTTTACTCATAAACCCTTTTCTAGGTTACGCCCCCCCCCAGTTTTTATATGGTTAAATGCACATTGTTCAGGGCTACAACAAAGTATAATTGAGTTCTAGTGTGTCATGTGTGCAACATAATTTCGTTCAAGCTAAAGCATATCGATGAAGAAAAGAAATATAGTAAAAATGAAAGGGGGAACAACCAAAATTTTGTCCTTTTTGATTTTTGCACTTTTTTTGTGTGGTTTGTGCAAATTTATAAACGGTGATTTGTTGGGCCTTTGTTTAAAATTTTAATACAAAAAGGGTGTAAATGTACGTCTGTACAATTAGTAAAGGATTAGCGTACATTATTACTCTATATACTATAACCTCGTTGATAAAATCTTTTGTTAAAGCTTAAGTTGGGTCATTTTTTTAAAATTGCAATATCATATAAATGTAGTAAATGAAAAAATAAAAAATATAACTTTTATTAAGAAAAAAAATACATTAATTTCACATTATCATTTTTTTAAAATTCAAAAAGAAATAAAAATATCATGAAGAATTCGTCGGTAAAAAATTAACATCTATTTTGATTTGAAAAAATAATTTGTTTCAATCATTTTATTAAAAAATTCGAAAAAAATCCGAAATATCATGAAGGATTAGACGGTTAGAAGTAAAACATCTATTTTGATAATGAACAAAAATATATTTAGCAGTTTTATTAACAAAATGCTAAAAAGCAAATCACGTAGGTTTTAGTTAGAAAACAAAGATATATTTAGTTAATAAACAAAGATATATTTAGTTAGTAAACAAAGATATATTTAGTTAGAAACAAAGATATATTTAGTTGATTATAAAATATGTTTTTTTGCAGGATTTGATTGATTTGATTTTGAAATGAAAACTATTCTTATTCTCGGGATTTAAGAGATATTTCCCCACTGAGCTGAAAACTTTAGAGTTCTGGATACTGAGATCAAGACTTGATCCTTTCTTTTTGTTAATCTCAAAATTAATCGGGTCTTAAACAGCTGATGATTGTAAATTTCGTAAAAACTATTATATTTGTACATTTAAAATCTCGGGAATTATTTTTAGTGTCAAAGGAATTGACTCTTTGCAACAAACTCTGATTTTCTAATCCCTATATCTTTTGATTCCAACGTCGTAATCCTTTGAAATTTAAAACTATGACACTTTTGTTAGATCAAAAAATATAAGTTTGAAATATCAAAGGTATACGACACTGGGTTCCCAAAATATTGGGATTGGAAAATCAGAGTTTGTGGCAAAGAGTCAATTCCTTTGATCAAAGGTATGAATAAACATACAATTAGACTAATGTATCTACGTAAAGTTCGAATTATCGAAATTTACATCTCCTGTCTGCTACAGAGAGAAACCTTTCTAAGCAATCTCTCATTGATCGAATCAGAACCAATCCTGACTTGGGTTCTATCTGAGCCCGAGTCCGGGTTTAACTCGGGTTTAAGCTATTAAAATCTCAGCTCCGATATTAGTCCAATCGTTATAGCATCCATTTGTTTTTGTTATCAAACGTCACTTTATTATGCAGAAGGAATATAAAAAAATCGGATTAAGCAAGAAATTAAAAGTGTCAATTCATTGGACATGCAGATTAAAGCGATCGGGATTAAAGGTATTTAATTTAAAAGTTACCAGCTCTGAAGGGTTGAAATTAAGGGATTAAGCATAATTTCCTCTTTGTAAAAGTTGCTATAGTGGATATCGAGATCTAGCGTTGTAGATAAGCAGTCTAACATAAAATTTTCAATATCTGATCTGCAGAGAGGGAGATTGCAACTTTAAACCTGGAATATTTAGAATTAGACGCGAACTTACAATTGAAACAGATCGAGGAAGCTATATATAAAGAGAGATTGCACTTTTAATCCTTTAATATTTAGGATAAGACGCGAACCTATAAGAAGCAGATTGAAGAGGCCGAAGAGATTGCAGCTTTAAATCTTGCAAAATTCAGAAAAGCTCAGCAGCAGCTTGAAGAGGCAAGATTTTTATAATAAAAACCACGAACGAAACCCAGTGTATTTTTTTTTTGAAAATATAATATGTCGCTGCTCGAATTTCGTCACTTTATAAATGTTCTATGTCTTAAACTGAACATTTATAGAGAAGCATCAGTTGCAATTTTACTAAATCACTATATATCTTTGCAATATGATTGTTACATTGGACCTGGAAAGATATATAGGGAAAGAAACCAGAGTTGGTGTCCAGTACTACATTCATTGAATTAATATATTAAGATGTATTATACTAGCTTGGGAACCCAGCGTTGTCCAAGGTCATAGCTCGTCCCGCCGCTTACCCGCGCTTTGTTGTAAATTACGATTTTAGCTTTTTTCCCGCAAGAGTCGACTCACATCAACTTATATTCTCAAAACTAAACTTAGCACATTCCCAAGGCTTTCCCGAGTACCCCAAAAAGTGCAAGGCCGGTTCCTGAGTTATGATCGGACAAACAAACACCCAGACACCCAAACAGAAATGACATCTATAGATAATAATAATAATAACAATAATAATAATATAATAATAATAATAATAATAATAGTAATATATATTTCATTAATATATATATTTAGGCTGAAGAGCGCAGTACTTCCTCTGAGCATCTGATGGGACGAATGAGGGTTGAAAGAGGAGGATCAGTGGTAATTTACTTTTTAAAATAAAAACATTTCAATCTTTTTCATTGGATGCAATATTTAGGAAAATATACCTAAATAGAGGGACTCGTTTTCAGAGATTATTAAATACTAGCAAATATATATAATTATTCATTTTTATTAAAGGGTTTCTTACGTATTTATATAATGTAATTGTATTATGATATCCATTAAGATCTTACATAAATAACTCTACAATTATGATTCCATAAGATATATGATACAACAGTCTAAACACAGACCATATTCTTATTCATTCAAATAAATCGGTTTGTTTTTAATATTCAATAATTTTTAACTTTTTACGATTTACTGTTTGGCCTGATCATACAAAAATATTTTATTTAAAACTATTATTTCATTATTTTGTTTAGTTTATAATAAAAATACAAAGCAGTTGACTTGTTTTGGTATTAGCTTCTTAGTTTTTTTTGTATACAAAAATCGTCAAATCGGCTAACCTATACCCCACGAAACGTTAGGATGTTACTAGCTGTTCGAGATTTAAAAATAGATATCTTAGATTCTTATATAAAAGTGAGGCGCCTAGATTTATTTTTTGTTTAAATGCAGGGTTACCTTTACCTATATATTTACACTGTCTGTTTTCTTATATTCATTATTCCATTTTTTGCCAAATCAATAATTAAGCCATTCAAAGATTCAAGGTAGCAGACTTGATTTAACCTTGGGCTCATTTAGGAAAATTGTAAGTCTTTACAGTCTCATCCATTGTAGGTAAACCTGTACTTACAGAAACATATAATAGCTTTATTATTCATTATTACAAAACGAGGGGTGGGGAGGTTTAAAACAATAAAAAGTTGTAATTTATATATTTAAAAAGAATGAGTAAAACTTAAACAGAATTGAAATTCCAAGCAACTCAGGGTACCCAGAATGTTTCCTAAAAACTAAAAATAATAAAACTAAAAAAAAGATTTATTCTGCTATAAACGTCACCTTCTGAGAATTTATTTGTTTTCATAAAATGAACTTAAAGAAAATTTAATGTGAAGATCTGACACTTTTTATTGAAATTCGGAGAAGTAAAAACATTTTCGTTCTAGGCTAGGAAAGAAGGCAAGGAAGGGAGAGAGGGATGTTAGAGAATTTTCTATTTTTGTATTTTCAAGATTGTAAAAACGTGTTTATTTATCAAAGTTGGATGGATGAGAAATAGGGGAAATATGGGAGGGGGGGGAGTAGGGGATGGGGTAATATATTAAGGGCAGG